TTCAGTCCAGCAGCCACCTGTAATCTGTCACTGATGGATCTTTTTAGAGAACAATTTAAACGGAGAGTAAAATTGCTGCTACTAAGTTATCTGAATTTTCCGTATGGATTTGTAGTCTAAATGATATTTTACATTGTTTTATACAAAGAAATGTTTTTTTTGTTGTTTTTTTTACACAATATCATATAAATGTTTAAAATTGTGAAATACATTTGTTTTTATGGAGACTGCCACTCGTTAAGCCCCTTGAGGGTTTTTTGAGACTTGTCCATCACATTTTCTTTCTTTTTTTGTGAAACATAATACTGTTTTTATGTTTTTGTTGTGAAAATAAATGAATGAATGAATGAATGAATAAAACAAACAAACAAACAAATAAATAAATAAATGAATAAATAAATGTCTGCCGTTGGAGCCTTTTGAAAGATGACAGGGGCAGAAATGAAGGCGCTACTAGCAGTCTGATCAGACATCACGGATCCATTTTTGGCTTAATACAGTCACCTCTCAGGTGGTTTTGGCTTTGGCTCGGGTTGGCAGAGAGTTTCCAGCTTAAAAGGTTCATTGTTGTTTGAATAAGCACTGAAAGGCTTTAAGACAAAGAAATAAGGCCAATAGGACCTCAGAGATAGGGTTAGAAGGGTTAGAAGTTAGGTTAGAATTCATCACAATGGACAACCAGCACTTTAAACCAACTTTTCGAAATGTGATTTATTTAATCACATCCAAGTTAATTCAATCTTTTCGAAATTCCTAAAAGTAGCTTACAGGTTGTTTTTTTTTGTTTTCTTACCGTCTTCTTTTTCATCGTGGACACTCAGATCTCAGCTCCTCAGAGATCTAATCAGCTCCAAATCATCAAATAAAGATTTTCTAAAACATCAACAGTGTCTTTTTTGTTACTGTTTTTTTCTTAAATACCAACACCCAAATATCATGAAAAGAAAACATGTCATTTCCTCTAGGTGACATCTCCAAAACACTCGTTTGGTTAAAGGTTTTGTAGAAACATGTGGTAAGTTACTATAATCAGTTCCTGATATTCCAATTTAGGAGCAGGTTAAATAATGTTTGGAAGTTGTGTTTCCGCTTTGGGAAATGTTGATTTGTCATTTTTTCTTTAGTTAAAGTTTAAACTAAACATTACAGCTGGTGTTTAAAAATGGGCTTGTGTAAAAGTCCCAAAACCCTCCAAACACGTCAAAACGAGTGGGAAACGGAGTAGAAGCTCCGGGATGATTCTCCTCTGAATAAAAACTGGAGATGTCAGCTGCAGCTTTATAGAGCATGACGTTCATAAATAAAAGATTTCGGATGAAGACACCCTTACAACTCAAAAATGCAAATACACTGAAGATTTAAGGAGGAGATGTCACTCCTTTTATCACTCGCACACTCACAAAACGCATCATGTTCTCCGTCTTCAGGCATCTCCTGTGAGCTCCAACCACCTGACAACTTCATTGCTTTTCTATGATTTACAACCGCAATCTCCACTTTTCGTGTGCATAAAAAGCACAAACAAAACTTGATTTTTTTTAAAACCACACTCACTGTAAGCTGTGGGGAACATAACCACATAATATATCCAGCCTACGGGGCCCTCCACAATTATTAATATTTTAGATGTGGTTGAGGACATCTAAAAATTCTCAATTTTTTTAAAACAACATAGAACCCAAATGCAAAAAAAGAGAAAAATCCAACCTTTCTTTTTAAGTACATTACTTTGGTGGTAAAAATAAAACCACACATTTAGAAAATAAAAAGTGTGAAATCATGTGTCCCACAATTATTTGCCCCCCTGATGTTAATACTTTGTACAACCCCCTTTTCCCAACAAGACAGCTCTAAATCTCCTCCTATAACATTTAACAAGAATGGAGAACACAGAAAAATGGATCTTTGACCATTCTTCTTTGCACAATCTTTCTAGATCATCCAGAGTCCTGGGTCCTCTCTTATTCCCTCAGGGGAGCCAATAATTGTGGAGGGCTCTGGATATCTACAGTGGGGGAAATAAGTATTTGACCCCTTGCTGATTTAGCAGGTTTGCCCACTTACAAAGAATGCAACGATCTATAACTTTAATCATATGTACATTCTAACAGTGAAAGACAGAATCCCAAAGAAAATTCCAGAAAATCACATCATATGAATTAATAAAAATTGATAACCATCTGATGAGGAAAAATAAGCATTCTTTGTAAGTGGGCAAACCTGCAAAATCAGCAAGGGCTCAAATACTTATTTCCCCCACTGTAGATGTCTGGGTTTTATTTTATGAGCAACCACCATAACGGAGTCCTGACAGGCTCCTGGGGGTTCGGATAGGTCTGCTGCAAACTACAAAGCAGCAAATTTCTTGGATCTGTTCTCAAAGTTCTGGCAGCCTGCTGCTTTGGATGAATAAAACTCAAAGAGAAGGACAGAAAAACACACGGGAAGAGGCTGATAAAAACAGTGGAGTTACAGAAATGTATTTACAAAACTGGGATTCTCACGGAAGGATTCATGTGATTATTTCAGTTTTAAATAAATACAAAAAAAACACTGTTTTTCTTTGTGTTTGTGGTTTGCACTGTGAAGTGACTCTATGAGGGTCTTTATATAATATCTGAAGATTATGCCTTCAAAACCAAATTAATGGAAAAGTGATCAAATTCCAGGGAAGAATTCAGCAGGTAGATCCATCAGCAGGTAGGTTTTAACCCTTTAAAGCCTGATCCAAGAATAAAACAGAACAATTACTTTTTGGGGGTTTAAATTCCTTATTTGGCCTTTTAACAAAATATGTAAAAAGAGAAAACAGAAATACATTTTTGATATTAATAATTTATTACTATGCGATAAGTCCAGATTATTTTTTGTGTAGTCTTCTGCTCCCTGTTATCAGGTGTATCTGATTGTGTACAATAGGATTTTGAGCAAAGTTTTTACCATTAAATTATGCAAAAGGTGTCAAACGCAAAACATTTCTGAAACCGTACGTATAAAATATGATACATTTGGCATTACAGGGTTAAACCTTAAAAGATCTTTTTGATTTAGGGCAGACAGAGGAAGTCACTCTGGGTTTGGCAGACTGTGATGAGCATTCTTAGCCCTGCAGAATAATTAAATACTTAACAGGAAAACAATCATTGTTCATGCTCCCTAAAGCAGGAAACATATATAAATGATCAGACATTTTTAATTTGAGTAGAAAAAAAGACAGAAAGAGACAAGAGAGAAAGAGACTTAAGAGACAAAAGAAAACAAAGACTCCCATCGTGTTCTGTCACACTGCATGAAAGGAGTTTCTTAAAAGGTGGCTCCAGCCTCCTGATTCTGCTCCGTTTTCATTATTAAAGAAAACAATAGAGGTGTGAGTTTGTGGTACACAACACACCCCGTTCTGACTGTAATTCTTATTATCTCCTGACCTACCTCAGGAATACTCATTTGCAGTGACCTCCCTAAAAACCCGACCAAATCCCCTTAACCATTTAAAGCCTGATCCGAGAAAAATAGGAAGAATATTGGATTTTTTTAGTCTGAAGTCTTTCTTTGGCCCCTCGACAACATATGAAGAAAAAAAACAGAAATTATTTTGATCAAATTAGCGTGCAATAAGTCAAAAATATATGTTGGTGTAGTCTTCTACTGGCTGTTATCAGGTATATCTGAATGTGTACAACAGGGGTTTGAGCAAAGCTTTTACCACTGAATGATGCAGAAAGTCTCAGATCCAAAAGAAACCGGATCAGATATGACACATTTGGCATTTTAGGGTTAATGAAGAGATAAATGCGGTTGGTTAAATTCAGCCGTTTGGGAGCTGAAGCTGTGGTGGGATCAGCTTTTTGCTTTGTCAGAACCTGTGACCTCCAGCAATCACTGGATCTCCAGCAGGACCTCAGCAGGTAGCAAATACTCATAAAAAAAACAAAAAACAATTATCCTACCTCTTTCCCCCTCACTCGTCCTCATGTCTCCTTCCTTTAACACGTCCGATATGATCTCTCCTTGCTGAGGAGTGCATTATTTCTGTGATTCTTTGCCCTCATCTGAACTCTTTTCGATGCACCAAGCATTTAAAAACTTCTCAGCAAACAGATTCTTACACACAGTCCAAAGTTGTAAATCAAATAAGGCCATTGAGGCATTTCTTTCTCTCTCTCTTTTTCTCTCTCTCTCTCTATATATATATATATATATATATATATATATATATATACACACATTTATATCTTTTTTATTTACACGCATCAAAAGTTGAAGACAGCTAAAATTCAGTAGAGTTGGACCATGAAAAGATGCTACACTTTACAATGAGTCAGGTCAGGAAATATTAGGAGTTTCTGATGACTACAAGCAACGTCTTAAAGTGACGAATGAATAAATAGTTTAACTTTATGTTACAATTAGTTAAAGAGTAATTAAACAATAACATTAACAGTAATCAAAGTGTGTTTTTATTTATCTACTTACTTAGTTGTCAGACTCATGTTGAATGGGGATTTACTCTGATAACATCTTAATGGTTAGGACACAGACCTGTGGGTTACAGATGCTAATGCTAATGCTAATGCTCGTGTGGGATCGGATTTAAAAAAAAAAAAAACTGGATCTAGAGTCTAGATCTGCATTTTCTCCAGATATCGGATCGGGAGGAGTCTACTGTATTTAATTATTGCAGAGCAACAGTCTGAGCATGTTCTCTGCATTTCTGAAAGGTTTTAGCCTTTTTGACAAAGAAGACTAATTAAATATTTGTTGAAAAGATGATTCCTGCTCTTGCCCCTTTTCGGCAACCTCTTAAGTCTATTAGGTTTAAATCCAGCCGATGACGGTTTCCCTGTAATCAGAAATGGTGGTAGCAGGAAAAAAAAAACCTGTATTTGTATTAAACCCATTTAAGTAGGAGCCACTTCTGCTTCACACTGTGACATTTCCACACCGTGTGAGAGGCTGTGAGCAGCCCTCTTTTATCCCTCCACCTCGATGTGATCTCTTACCACTCGCAGCAGACTCCTCTGCTCCTTGAAAGTGGCGCAGCAGCCCAGCACGCCCGTTACCATGACGATGGCTCCCGCCAGGACGAGGATGTAGGCGGAGACGGCGTAGGTCTTGGAGGAGAGGAGGCTGATGTAGTCGCTCTTCTCCACCAAGGTCCAAACGCCCACCGCCATCACAACGCCGCCCGCCAACTGGGAAAAGAGAGAGAAACCCGATAAGAGTCGGAGGCCCGGGAAACTCAGGAGAGGGTTTGACTCAGAGGAGGCACAGCGGGAAAATGACAAAGAGAGTTTGAATAATTAACTCATTGGCTGCCAAAGACGTCTATAGGCGTAAATTTTTTGCTCTTACAGTTTTTTTTTTCATCTTTGAGTTTGTCTTGTGTTGTGGTGATAATTGTGTTTTATGATCTGCTCAAATGACCTGTACAGCGCTTTGATTTTAGCTTTGGCTGACTGAAAGCGCTTTATAAATAAAGTTGAGTTGAGTTGAGAATTCAAATACAACCGTTGACTGCCAAAGATGTCTATAGACGTCTTTTATGTTTTTCAGCGAGAGTGGCTGGGGGACGATCTGCTAAAGCTTGTCCGTAAATATGGGCTTCTAGACAGAGTATGTAGTAACAAATTGACCCTCTAGGGGGCAGTGCCACTTTTGATGGGAGATGAGCATAGACTGTAGGCAAATAAGAAAAAGGGAACGGTTCTATGAGAGAACATGTCGCCGGTGAGACGCAAGTCGAGGAAGAACGGAATAAGGAAGAAACAAATATTTTTTCCTGATGAAAGAAGAGAGTCTACTCTTTCTTTTGGTGTGTTCGGTGTTTACACACCGAACACAAACTGTTCTGTGGCTCTTGAAAAATCTGTCAAAATGCTCAAAAAACTCTGGCAGTATGGGACTCTGTTCTGAAAATGGCTGCCAGTCAATGAGTTAAGAACCCAAGGTGGCTTCAAAGTGTAAAAAGAAGGATTGAAAGTGAGAACCGACGGATACTCGGGTCAGAACAGCTGCAAAATGCTCATAATATCATCATCCAGTGGGATGAAAACTGAAAACTCTCTTTATAAAACGAGATTAAACTCAGTCTTCGACAAAAAAATAGAACCATAATACAGATAAAGAAAATTTCAATCATTTGCATGCTTCTAAAATGCATCTTTATAGTTTAAATGCTGAAGAACAATAAAAAGCTTCTTGTAAACTCTCCAAATAGACTCAGTTATACAAAAATTGGCATAAAAATCGGTACTCCAATCCAGCGTATACCAGTCGTTGTTAAATAGAGAGAAAAAACGATCCAATCAGTACAAAATGAGTCAGCAACAGAAATCTGGCATCACAGAAAATCAGCCAATCTAATCTCCTAGTGAGTTTCAATTTAATTTATAAAAGATCAACGATTGATGACTGACTGAGATCGCATCAATCTCAGACTCAGCGAGGCAGTAAAGCCCCCCAAAAAAGCATTTAGGATGATTTTCAGTATGTTGTTTTCAAATGGAGTAAAACCTCATAATGGCAGTCTACACACAAACTAGCCAGCGGTCTAAATTTACTCTTTTTTTGGCCATTTTCACACTTAAAAAACAAACCAAACAAACAAAAAAACAAACAAAAAACAAACAAACAAAAAAAACACTAACATGACCACAAACATTTGAATCCCCTTCCATCTACATACAACTATTTTCCTTTAAGGCATTCTTTACCTTCTTACTAATAGACGATAGATAGTATCTATCTATCTAGAGAGGCTATAGACATTATTTTAAAATCTGAGGTGCTACATTAGAAAGTCTTGGACAAAAACAGAGGCGGCAGAACCTGGTTACAGTCACGACTGCATCAAGTGAATGAAAAGCTTTCTGTAAACTCAATGAGCCACTCTAATCTGTGAAACCTGGTAACAAAAAAAAGAAAAATAAATAAATAAACTAGTGCAAAGAAATCTGGAAGTCTGGCGACACCTGCTGGCTGAAAGAGGCAGCTACAGGAACTTTGGGCTGTTCCTCCTTTTATGTTGAATTATGAGGATTTCTAGACATTTCTATGCTTCTAAATTATTATGACAGACTTCAGAATGTATCCTGCCTCTAAGCACATTAGGAAATTATATTAATGATAATTATTTTATTTAATATATGATCAATATCTCTCTGCATCTAAAGGAATCGGAAGTTGAAACCCATTTGAAAAACAGTTTTTTTGTGCATTTCGTCTTAAGTTTAAGGTTAAGTTTAACTCTTTTCACACTAAATGTAAAATCAAAGTCGTCTTTCTGATCATAGGTAGTTTCAAAAACCAATCGTCACTTATACCAAATTAGTTATTTACCTTGGGAGAAACGGGGTTACATGTACTTGTGTCTACTTTGTAAATCCCTCTGGATGAAAGCTTCTGCTAAATGCGTAAAAATAAACACAGATTTTAATTTGGGCTCCTTTGTTCTGATATACGGTGAATATACCGGAGCACAAAGCAGTTCACTTCTCTTTTTCTTTAAAGTGAGAGATCAGATTATGTGGCTGTCACATGTGGAAAAGTAGTTTCTACTGGTGAGTTATAGAGGGTTTTATGGAGATTTTTCCAAACCAGACAAATTTGTCATGACAAATGACACATTAATGTAATTTTACGGTGAGACGGGGTAGTCCATACACACGACTGTCCTTGTTCAGACAGGAAATATTACTGTGGCTTGTTTAGGCAGAACTTTCTCATTCCTATGTGGAAAAGAGCATACTTCTTTTGAACACATTCACTTCTGTTTGATTGGAGGAGTAGGCTGAAAACAGCAAAGCAACCGGGAAAAGCTTCTGGCTTTTTTCAGCAAATAAGAGGCAAAGAGTCCAAATATTTCAAACTAAATGGCCTAAAATAAAATCATGCTTCTTTCTTAAGCCTGATTAGTAAAAAAAATTGGTTTATTGTCGTTTTTTGATACACTTTTTTTATAGTTACCTGGACCGACATTATTTAGGTCAGATCCTAAACTGGAGGTAAATTTCCAACCTTTAAACTGGATGAACTTTTTTAAAAAACCCTTTACCTGAGGGGTCCAGACTCATATCTGGTCTCATTCGACCCGTCCAGAACCGGACCAAAGTTCACACATCACACAGGGAAAATATATATAACATAAATATATATCAAATATTCAGAGCGGAGGGAATTATAACTCACCCAGAAGAGAAAGTTGAAGGTAAACAGGAGGTATTTCAGGCAGATGGTCCCACATGTTTCCTTTTTCTCCTCATAAGCTCCCATGCTGAAACAAGCAGATTTACGGTTATAACAACACTTTTTGGTAGAGGGATTTTCAGATTTAACATAATCTCCTTAAAGCTGAGATAAAGAACATTTTGGGCTGCCTCATAAACTACAGAAATGTGCACCTCTGGACTTAGACAGCACAGAAATTAAATCAGTATACTTCTGTTTTGACTACAAAAAAACGCCCTCAGGGAAACTTACAGGGACAGAAGACTGAATATTCAAGGAGGTTTTAAATACAGTAAAACAGGCAGAACTTTTAATGTTTAACGTTATTCAGGATTGTGGAACATTTCAGTCAAATCTCTTATTATCGATCTCCACCAGGAGAGAGCAAATCCAACATTTACCACCAAAACAACCTTTTTAAACTCAGTCATGTTGTTTTAATTATGAGGGGAGGTCACATGGATTAAAAAGCAACGCGGGGATTTTCCTGCGTTTCAAAATAAGAAAATAAGTTATTGATGCTTCCACAGTTCAGTAGACCTTTAGAGACAATTACGGCCTTGAAATACAAGTAACTTTATTACTATTAAAAGAATCATTTAGACATTGGCTGTATGTGGAATAAATTAAATATTTACAATAGATGTTGATTTTGCTTACTTGAAAAAATTAGCAGAATCTCAGATCTGGTTTGAAAGAGAAAAGATTAAGCAATCACTTTTTCACACAGGGCCATGATGGTTTGGATTTTTTTCCACCTTTAATAATAAACACCTTCATTTACAAATTGCATATTGTGTTTACTTGTGTTGTCCTTGACTATTGTTTAAATTGGTTTGATGTTCCGAAACACTTAAGTGTGACAAACATGCAAAGGACCAGGAAATGAGGAAGGGGGCAAACACTTTTTTAACACCTCCCACAGTCCAAACTCAGGCATGTTGGCTCCATTAGAGACTGTCCTCAGGAGTGAGTCTACACGGCTGTCTGAGTCCTCCAGAATCCAGATTAGACGTGTAGACGGTCATAGAGTTGAGTTATTACACGTGTATGCAGAGATCCATGACTAAGCACAGAGTGAGAGCAGAGACTGGGCCGGAGGCGGGACATTTTAATTGCCTGTTCGCTGCTACATCCATTTCATTAAGGCTCTGAATTCCTTCTATACTTTAAATTAAATTGCATATGTGGAAAAATTCAGGCCCAATAGTGAGGATCTCACAATATGTGCTTTTTTTTTGTCTCAGCACAGCTTTTCAAACACGCGTGTTGAGTTGTGCTCTCATTGTTGTTTGTGTTTATTGTTAATTGTTTCCGTGGTTAAGATTCAATTCAATTCAATTGTATTTCTATAGCGCCACATCACAACAACAGTTGTCTCACAGCTTTCCAAACAAAGCAGGTCAGACCTACTCTGAAGTTAACTACAGAAACCCAACAATTCCCACCATGAGCAAGCACTAGGCGACACAGGGAGGGAAAAACTTCCTTAGAAGATGAAGTCACACTTACATGCTCACGTGACAAAATAATCAATGGCCTACACCTGTGTGAGAATATAAGAGTGTGCCCGTGAGTGAACGGTGACCAAACGAAAAGGAAAAATTATAGACTGAGTGTGTCTTAAATGGCTACTCGCAAACCTGTGTAAGAGATTCTACAGTGGGGGAAATATGTATTTGACCCCTTGCTGATTTTGCAGGTTTGCCCACTTACAAAGAATGCTTATTTTTCCTCATCAGATGGTTTTAATGAATTCATATGATGTGATTTTCTGGAATTTTCTTTGGGATTCTGCCTTTCACTGTTAGAATGTACATATGATTAAAGTTATAGATCGTTGCATTCTTTGTAAGTGGGCAAACCTGAAAAATCAGCAAGGGGTCAAAATAATGTGTTTTGTTTGTTTGATCTTGGTACGGGCTGTATTGGAACTCAATTTCTCCCTGGAGATCAATAAAGTATATTAAATTCACTTCAATATTCAATTCATTTCAATCAATTCAATTCAATACTTATTTCCCCCACTGTAGCTAACAACGCGTCTCGGGTTTGACTTTTTCTCGATTTATTGATCTCGTCGTTTTAACATTTTGCTGCTTTCCTGTTCACTCGGATCCACTCATCCTTTTCATTTTGAAGCCAGCAATTTTCTTGGATAGCTTTCCAGTCAAGTCCACACTTGCTTTTCTCCGGCTGACTCCCTCTGACACTCCTTCTCTGGTCCTGGCTCCTTTCCCTACCCCCACTGCTGTCCATCCAGGTGTGGTTTGGGGGAGAGGAGAGCAGTCTGAAGGCCATCTGTTATCCTGGGGCCTCTAAGTGCTGCTGTTAATTAAACTCAAACAAGACATAATTGCCTACGCTGTCCTTTACTGTCCGGCAAAGTGCTGAGTTAAAGAAATGTCTTCTTTTTAATGTCCGATAGCTTTCTTTCATGACTGAAAAAGGATTAGAAACGTTCATTTAAAGAGGATAAATGGACAACAACTTAGTTGCTCAAAGTCTTTTCTTATAATTAGTTTTCTCAGGCTGTAATTTGTTTTCTTTACAAGGAACATGTTATGTCAGATTCTTTCCCAGCAAAGAAAGCTAATCTATCTGATGGGCAGTCTGGAGGTAGCCTGTGGAGGACAAATAGCAGCACTATAGAAATCTAATTAAACATATATCTTTGTTTACATTAACTTCCCTTTTTAATTGGTTTATTTCTAAAAAGCACATACAAAGAATCAACTTTGTTTGGGGGTTTTCCAGAGTTTTGAATCATATGAGCTCATGTTTGTAGATGACACAAAAACAATGCTATTAATCACACTTAGACCTGTCTATTAGGTACAAAAACGGGCGTTTTTCTACCATAAACTGCAATACTTTGAGAGTTAAATGAATCTGAACTATTTAAGGAATCTTCGAAGACGTTAGATCATTTTTTGGTTAGATAACATAACTGAGACTTTCTACCAAGTGGTTATTAACAGAAAAAGGTTTTTTTTTTTTAAGTAGCTGCACCCATTTATGCTGTTAATGAAAACATGTTTTATCCAAAGAATGGATTAGTTAAGTTAGTTAAATCATTACCAGAGTTCTAGTTTTTGGCAGCTATTGGTTAGATAACATAACTGGAGACTTTTACCAAGTGGTTATTAACAGAAAAAGTTTTTTTTTTAAGTAGCTGCACCCATATATGTTGGTAATGAAAACATTTTTTATTCAAAGAATGGGTTAGTTAAGTTAACCATCACTTCGACATGCTTCCAAACAGGCTGGAAAACACGATGGAAACTACAGTAACGTCTTCGTCTACTATTTGTTTAAGCACTCCAAAGCCCCTTTTGTTTAGTTTTCGCTCATACTTCTCTTAGTTTTTGATAAAAGTCCGTTTTCCAGCTTTTTTCTGTCCGGAGCACCAACGGCTCCGGGGGCAGCTCGCGCCGGACGTTCTGATTTCCAACGGTTTTTTAACGGTTTTTAAACGGCCGTTCTCCGACTATACGACCAACTTTTCCATCCCGGTTTCTAAAAATCAGAACCCGTGTAGAAAACGGGACTTTACAAGAATCTGCTGACTGTTTTGGCCGCTTTTTCAGCGAGCTCCGAGCTAACGTCTCACACGGAGCACTTCCGGTTTCACCCACCTGCCGTTTCGCTGATGTTCTGAGTTCCAAATCCGGGTAAATACGTTTATATATCGCCTGTTTTCATTCCAACTTCAGCAGGAAAAAGCTTCTTCTTTTCTCTTTTTCAGGCAGCGGCTGAAGCTGTAAGCAGAAAGCTGAAAACTGAGCTGAGAAACGGCGGTGACTCCACCCAGAGACACCTCGCGCGCTCCCTGTTTTCCACGTCCCGGGGCCACGCGCAGACTTCAAAGGGAAGGGACGGTCCCACGTGGGGGGGGGGGGGATTTGGGGAATACATCTAAACATAAATAAATAATGATGCAAATGAAACCCTGTGCTATTAAGGGAATTAATTTTGATGAAAGCCAAATGGAAGCAAGAAAAAAAGGAAAAAGAAAACAGGTACACCATAAAGAAATGAAAAATCATATTAAAAATCATATTAAAGAAACTCTAAATAACCCCAAATCAATTATAAAAACATTGTAAAAGGGATATAACATTGAGATAACAACAAATAGATACAAAATAATTACAAAACAGGGAGATAAGACCGATAAAGAAATGAAGAGAGAATGATCCAGCGAAAACTAAAAATCATATTAAAGAAACTTTAAATAACCCCAAATCAATTATAAAAACATTGTAAAAGGGATATATCATTGAGATAACCACAAATAGATACAAAATAATTACAAAACATGGAGATAAGACCGACTATGACTGTATTAACATAAAGTGACTGAACAATTGTTAAAATATTCCCATACTGAGACTTAAACAAGTCTGCAAACATGCCAAACGATTCCTTAAAATATAAGCTTTTGAATGTTATTATTCTATACGTTTGAAGCCAAAACGAGGCTGGTTGACCATAAAGCAGAGAAGAATCTCATGAACAGGCCTTCACATCAGAGAGCAGCCAGTAAGTAATCATCAAATGTGGGATGTTGGAGAGGCTCCAGCCGGTGATCTCATAAGCTGCTCAGAGAATAAAGATAAATGCATTCCTCTGTAGACATTTTTACATTTTTACCAGTGGTGTACTTTCATAGTATTAATTTACTCAATATTCTAAATGCTTGGAAGTGAATTATCCCTCCCTCTCTCCATCTATCTATCTATCTATCTATCTATCTATCTATCTATC